ATATAAACACAAGTGGCCCCTAAAAAGAATCAAGAGGGAAATCCATCTTCTTTTCAGCATATGCGTCAACAGTATTAGAAGAGGAAAATGCAATAATGTGATTCCGTGGAGAAATCTGTAAGAATATGGTGATTTAGGGTTGGAAATCAATCGAAATCAAAATTACAAGAATCACTAGGAGAATAACAAGAGAAAAAGAAATTGAGGAAGAAAGAAGTGGAGCTTGGGTAAAGAGCAATCTAACAAGAAATTAGTCAAATTATTGATATCTACTAACTTAAAACCTTCATTTTGGGTTAAAGTCAAGGGGTTCAAACTTGTGTTGTTAAACAATTAACTTCTCCAACATACAAATAAGTATCAAGGCTCAAGTAAATTAAAAGAGCTTTTGAATTTACAGGCATTGCAATTCCTTTTTATTATATTATTTGCAATATTTCATGAAAAATTTCTTGGATTTCAATTGAAAGTGTATTTATGTAAGATTTAATTAAGCAATATATGAAGGCCTTCATTATAGCAATAATTCTTATTTAGGGTGGTTTTAAAAAAATAAAGACCACTTAAAAGATTTTCTACAAAACATATTCTTTAATACTCTATCCATCCTATAATAATTGTGTTTTTTTTTTCTTTTCTTTTTTTCCAAATTAAAGATTTAGGGATTATTTATGTATTTACTTATCTAACTTTTATGAAAAAGCTAAAAGATAAAGTAAAACTTGTTGTGATAGGATAATTAATCAAAATAAATGAATAATGATAAGATCAAAATAGGAAAAATATATTTATTTATTTTAAAAAAGAAAAAACATAATTAATTTGAAACAAATTAAAAATTAAAATATAACAATTATTTTGAGAAGAAAGTAATAAAGCACAATTGATTTTTTTTTTCCTTTTTATTTGTCTCTTTTAATTTCAAATCTTTAACTATATTTTGTCTGTTCCAAGAACTCAACTTCGTTGATTATCAATTAATCTTTATCTTTGTAACATGACATGAATAGTGCTCTCAAACTGGGGTTTTTAGGTTTGTGTGCTATTATTGGTGAATTAATTAGTTTTAGTTTTTAACATTAAATATTTAGGGATTTGAAATAATGTCAGTACTTTGATAATTTAAGTTTAAGTAATGGGTAAATGTTTGTATAAGATGAAAGAAATTGGAATCAAGGTAGAAGAGTCACTTCTCGACGAGGTTAGGGTTGCTTGTTCTATTAGCACTCTAACAAGAGAACTAAACGAACAAACAAACTGATAGATGTAAAGGTGAAGGATAACGTTTTAATTTAACTGCAGCGGCAGAGTAGATACTTTCACATTCTTTTGTGAGCTTCTAAACCAAAATCAGCATAAAAAATTCAATATTCGACATAGGATGGTGGGACTGATGCTGTTTGTCGCCCAGACTTTTGAACCAATGATTCCAGGATTGTGACATCTGCATTCTGATTTCTATTCTCTGTTATGATGTGTTGTTTTGAAGAAGTACCTTTTTCAAGATCTGGAAGATTGATTTGAGATGTTGCTTGCCATTTATCTTAGTATCATTCAGCTGTACTCGATATAAGGTGCGCTTTGCAACTTTTGACGTGGATTTGGAAATTGGTCACATTTAAAGTGTATCATGGTAAGCTGACCATATTCAGCATGTAAAGATGTTCACAAAATAGTTTGTTCATGCCTCTCACTTCCTCAACAACCTTTTTGTTTGTAGCAACTATCATTTCACCCATAATTTTTTTAAATATTTCATGTGATATGATTTAATAACTAAAAATTTTATTAATTACATTTTTAAATTGTATTTTAAAGCACAAGTTAAAAACTTTTAAAGATAAATTGATAAGATTAATCTTAAATATTCTTATATAAGTAAAATTATTAAATAAATTTAGATGATGAATTTCTTAATATGTGTAAAATACCCTAAAATGTAAATTAAATTAAAACAGAGTAAGCAGTACCTTCTTTTTTATCCGTCTTTTTTCATTAGCATCTTTCTACTCACCAACTTTTGAGAAAGGTGATGGCATCTAGTAGAAGCCCAAGATTCTGGCAATTGTACTAGTTTAAAAAAAGTTGGTATCTGTTTATTCCATATTTTATGTTTAGCTTTCTCCTTCTCATTGTCTGACATCCCGGTTTCTTCCAAATGTTTAGCTTTCTAATTGTGACATTAAAAGTTTGCCCTCCTACATAATTGAAAGTAGGAGGTTGAAACAGTAGCAAAATTCTCATCACCATTGATTCTGTACGAGTCCAACCCAATCATGAACCACACAATTAATGGCCGCAGACCCAAGAAAAAAATGTCCTTCTGTAAATTCTTCGCAAAGCAAAGGTACTAAATTACGTGGGCTTCTTTTATCATCCCTGCCCAATTGTGAGGAAGTGGAGGCAGCCCATGAATCATTTCTGTCAAGGTTTTTCTTTTTCTTTTTTGGGTTTGGGGAGTGGGCTTGTAGGGATAGACAAACTGTGTTGTTTTGGATGAAATACAGAATTAAGATATGGTTTATTATTTTATAATTTAAATTATATTAAATTATAAAAATAAGATTTTTTTATGAGGATGGAAGATTCAAATCTCATGAGGCCCTCCCTAATTTGAGAATCATTATTTTATAATTTAATACAATTTAGATTATAAAACTGTTTTTTCTTTAGATATACATAAAATCAGTATTTCAAAACCAGTTAACGGAGAAACGATGCAAAGTATGCAATCGATCGCCCGGTGTAACAGTAACATGTATACCATACCATTAAATTCTACCTATAATTCATGGTTTCTTTTCATTCTGCTAAACAATGACATGGAAAGTTGTCTACTGCTTGCAACTAATTCTTCATTCTGTCCCTCAAAACCTCTGTAAGAGAGTGTAGAAAACCAGTAGCTAGGCTAAGTAATGCCAAAAGAGGAAAAGGAAAAACATTAATCTAAGCTGTGCTATGGAAGAGATGCTTCAAGTAAGGACAGTCATCTGGCCCTTCATTGATAAGTTCTGAAATGGTCGAAGATGTAAACTTGTGGAGGTCGTCTGATGTGAGTGCAGTGGCGGAGCTAGGAATTTTAGTCAAGGGGAGCCGGCTTTTCAAGTTTTAAAATAATGCATTGTAATTTTAAAAATTTATTTTTATATCATAAATTAAAATAATATTTAATAAGTTTTCATATCACAAAATCTATTTATAATGGAGTTTACACCAAATGACTAAACTATTTCTTTTTCAATATAAACAATCAAAGAGTTTGAAAGAAATTTATCTTCCATTTTGCTGCGAAATCTCATTGTTATAATTTTTGTGATGGAAAATGCTTTTTCTCTTGTTACTGTAAAAACTGAAAAAATAAACACCAAAGGAATTAACTTGCAATAGAAAATGCTCTTTCTCGTTTTGACAACTGTAAAAATTGTTGTTGTTTTCATATTTTTTCCTTTTTTTACAAGCTAATTACATTTTATACTAATTTATCCTCCTATTGTTTTTTTCTATATAACTATATCCAAAGTTTTTCCTTTTATTGGGTTCATATATTTTTTTGCAATTTTTTTTACTCTAATCTAATTCTATTCCATATTACTTCAATATAACTTTAATATTATCATAATATTCAACTTTATTTGAAATCTCAACAATTCTAAATTCTAAAAGAAAATTATACAATTTTTTGTGATAATAAAAAATTAATAAGTTTCCTTACTTAAATATTGCTCCGTCCATACTAGAATAATAGATTTTTTGTTTTATTTTCAAATGAAAGATTTGAAAACAATTTCTATCTTTACCTATTTTATACTTTAAAAAAACACTAAAAATAAATATATATTTCAATCAGAAGATAAATAATTAAAATTAAGAGATAACCATAAGGTTCAAGCAGAGAAAAACTATTTATCTTTCTTAAAAAAAATGATGACTATTATTCTAGGATAAATTCTAAATAAAAATATTAGTTATTTTGAGACAAATAGAGTATACTAATTTTTTTTATTAAAATATATCTACTAATAAGTACAAGATAAAATTTTAAAATAAAATAAAAAAAATTTACAAAACTTGGAAGTTCAAACCTAATATAACAATATATAATTCATATAAAAAAATAATGTTATTTTTTGTATTTACTAAGAAGTTAGTGATCTTTTGGTGGTCCCTTTGTCTTCAAGTTTTCAATGACAAGAATGATGCAGTGGCTTGCATTGGGCTATTGAC